AATTATTTTCAACCCTATAGTCTCTTCCTCGCTGTCGCAAGCCTGCCTCATTTTCGATGGCAAATGTTCTGATGATCTGCATATTTCATTTCAAGCAGGTCAGACATTTAACTTTGTACTACACTGTTATATGTACTCGCTTCGGCAATGCTTATAATAAAATACAAGCGATACAGAGAAGATTAGAATGGCCCCTGCACAAGAATGACCTACAAATTCGTGAAGCGTTCCATATGTTTTTTTAAAAGGCACGTGGCCGTGTGGTTAGAACGTTCGCTTTCTGACCTTAAGATAAGGGTTCGAAACTCACCGTGGTCGACTTGTCAGGAAGGCGACTTCTTGATGTTATCGGTCTGGAGGAGGCGACCCCCAGCGTGCAGCAAAGTACCTGAAAGTACCTGAAAACCATATCACGGGTTGACCCAAGCCTTGTAGACGGAACCCTTGAGGGCTGTCGATGGCTGTGCTAACGCGAAGTCACAAGTCATCGTGACCGAGAGTTTGAGCGTACAGTTTAAACTGTTGATTACGCTAGATAATACGCTTCTCTCCCGAAAACGGTAACTAAGGTCTGTTCAGCATAGTTGCAATACAGATGGCCTCTGTGGGTGTTGAACAAGCACTAAATGCGTCTGAGTAGACGGTCATCCTCGAGTGTTTAACCATTAACATTGGTATGGAGAATGTCCCACTCAGACAGCTTCATCGCTAGAATCACTACCTTATGGAATAGATCCCTGAGATGAAGATTCTCTGATGACTAAGACTTCAATCTCTTCATCACTTGGGTCAACCATTATCTATTCTATATATACTCATCCTCCTCTTACATCATGACAACAAACTAATTCAGTAATCCTCTTCTTTGATTGGCTCACGGCCTGGTGTTAAGGGAATATTTAGTTGGAAAAATCATTTCACATATGATTTTGTAATCATTTTGCTCCAAGAAAAACAGTAAATACAGAAAGACGTGTTAGAGAATATGAGAAAAATATACTATTACTAACTTAAAAGCCGCCCTATCGGGCAACAATTAATCTAGCTCCTGGAGAGGGATCTTGATTAGTCGTTTGTCTTATTCAGCAGTTTGGGAGTCCCTAAATATTTGCATATTCTCAGCACTGGAAGCTCTCCTGGATGTCGTTTTTTCTGGGTTTTCATTTCTACGGGACGTTCTTTTCCTCGGTGCAGCCCTGGCTCTTTTGACTGCAATCTCGTCCCCTGTTGGCAGAGCTTTCTTTTTGCGAGGAAGACTGCCGTCGTATGCGATAGGCAAAAATAAGCTACAAAAGAACTCGAAATAGATCGCTTCATTTAAGTATCGCGTTAATATTTAAGCTCACCCTTTGAGAGTTGAACGATAATTCTTGTGTCGCCATTTAATTTAAATTGAAGACAGTTTGATGTATGTAGGTCCTTACTTTCCGTACGAACAATTACTTTTATTTCATGGGTGGCTTACGCTGGATTTCGAAATTAATTTCGATTATTTCCAAATTTATTTCCAAGTTATAAAAATTGTTATCGTACAAAATCACGTAAAGAAATCACCGAAAACAATCGTACTTGGTAATCCAAAATTTCTGTAACATGAGCTATTGAAAGTTAGAGACACAATGACACATGGACATTGGCACTTATATAGAAAGAGAAAAGCCAATAAGAGAAAGAATTAAGACGAACGATAACGATTGACGTTGCATTTCAATTTCTGAAGATCAAAGTTGACAGGGAAGCAAGAAACTGGAAGAGAGTTCCACAAGCGAGAAGTGCGAGAGAAGAAACTATCAGCATAGAATTTACGGTTATATCAAGCCATTTCGACTTTATATAACGAGAGCTTGCCGCCAATCTAGTAGTGCGCCTAAATTCATAAAATTTATGTATCATAGAGGGAAAAGATATTTATGTCTATAATTATACAAAATGATGTGGATTCCGGGATGAAATCCGGTACCAATAAATAACAAACGCCAAGAAAGAATATAGGAAAATAATGTATTAACGTAATAATACAAACTGGTAATGCAGGTTAGTAGTTCCAGGAATACGGGTTAGTAGCAAAATAAATATATACAGTCTTTGGTATTGAAGTATCGCTGTATGACTTCTTACTGAGTCTACGTGCTCGCTCACTGTGACTTCTGTTCGCTATGTTCATTCTGTTTGTCTGTCTGTCTGTCTGTTACCTTCACCCTCGGTTGCTCTGTCTCTCGGGTCTTCACATAGCAGTAGTATATGTATATACAGTGTGAGTGCATTTGTGCAAAAAGGGGTGAACCCCTCAACACAAAATGTAGCACAAGGCCAAAAATAAAAATGGGGAAAAAGACAGTCTCCAACTTTAAACTTAGCTAGCCACAGCATACAAACAATATTCCTAATACCAAAACAAACGCTTTCTTACTTACATTTCTTACTACATCCACCTATAATACCTCATTGTCTCTATGAAAATCCTAATTAATCCCCATATGTACAATTCATTGTCTGTTTTTTTTTGGGGGGGGGGAATAAAATAACAATTTAAAAATCTAAACCGTAATCATAGAGGAAAGTTCAGCAGAACAATAACCATGAAAATATTTATAGAAAAAGTAAAGGGAAGCTATATTAGAATTGTGGGAAAACGACAAAAGCCGAGATGCCAGGTCAGGATCAATAACATTACATGTTCTTTTCTGGATTGTATCAAGAATCTCTAAATATATAGCAGGAGCACCAGATCAGATGCGTCAGTAATATTTCAAGGAAGTACGAATGGTAGGCTTATAAATATCTAAGATAGATTTCGACGAGAAAAATTGTCTTGCATGAACCAGTGAACCAACTTTCCTAGCAGTAGATCCAGCAATTGATTCAATATAATGTTTCCAATTCATATCAGCGGAAAGCGTTTTACCGAGAAAATGCAATCTCGCACTGTTCTAGCCGTTACATCAGCCATGTGAATGCAAGATAAATTGGATTCTCTCAGAGAACCGTTTCGTTTTAGGGGGCGTTAAAATTAACAAGCCATTTTTTTTTTTGCCCCAGTTAACAACAGATTGTATGTCATTTTTGAAATGATGAATATACGTTGTAAGATCTTCTTGGAACTTATAATCCATTTAGTGCAGAGCACCTGTCACATTACAAGGTAATGTATTTACATGACAGCGTTGGGAAAAATGACTGATGCCGAGATGCCAGATCAGGACTAAGAACATTGCTGATTCTTCATTGGATTTTATCAAGAATCTCTAAATATGCAACAGGAGGAACAGAACAGATGTGAGAGCAATATTCAAAGCAAGAACGAATAGTAGACTTATAAATATGTAAGCTTAAATACATACTCTTACTTAACAAAATGAATCAATTTCCTAGTTGTAAACATAGCAATTTATTTAATATTTTTATATACCGTACCTATGAACATTAATTGGTATATGTAAATCCTCATAAATACGTTGAACACTATTGTAAATGGGTGGGGGTAATATGCTGCGTAAGCATGGAGTATTGCTGCCATATATGGTCTGGAGCCCCTTCTGTTTGTCTCGGGGTTCTTGATAGCCTCCAGAGGCGGATATGCAATATAATTGGCCCTGTTCTGGGATCTCGTCTACAATCACTTTCTCACAGACGAGCCGTCGCCTCTCTCTGTCTGTTTTACAAATACTTTCATGGCAATTGCTCCGAGGAGCTGCATTCGCTGGTTCCCAGACTTCATGAATTCAAGCGCCCTACGAGGCTGGCATCCCGCTCTCACCCCTTCACTGTCGAAACTCCTAAATGTAGCCGTCTCTTCTACTCCAATAGCTTCATGTCTCGCACCTCTCACCTGTGGAACTCCCTTCCCTATTCCAGTTTCCCTGAGAGCTATAATCTCCAACTATTCAAATGTAATGTTAATCGACATCTCCAGTTGCCTTGATCCTTCTCCTCATCCTTTCCTCTATCGCTCCTATCTGATCTTGCTCCAAATCTTCTGTAACCCCTTGCGTCCTAGTGGCTTCACGCCTTAAAAAAAACGCTTAAAAAAAGTAGTCCACTGCTAGAAGTGGTTTACCTACTTCACGCCGCTGGCGAGTATTGTATTTTGTTGATGTTATAAAGATTACCATTTCATTTCTAACCTCCATTTTGGTTAAGCCTTCTTATACATTATTTCCACTTCCTATCACGGAAAGACGTTAGTCCAAGAATGAGTCACTCTTCTGGATGTTAAACGGCCAAGCTCTATCTTCTTGAGTCTCAGCTCTCAGGCTTTTTTTATTAGGTGATATTTGTTGAAAACCGAATTAATGGTTCTTATTTAAACTCGCCGATGGAATATGCTTGGCAAATGGATTTGTTTTTGTTCGAATTTCTGGGAGACGGACTGTTGTTTATTATATTTTTTTTTTTATCACAACCTTTCGGCAGTTTTATCCTCCGACCTTCATCCTGAACTTTTCGACCCGGATAACCCTCAAGCAATTTCGGGACTAAACACATTTATTCACGCCTTCATTTGGTCATTTATTTATGCGGTTTCGTTGATTTTCGTACAGGTGGAGACGACTTCTGCGTTCAAGACTTTGTTAAAATATTATCCATAAATCTGATCTTCACTTCTACCAATCTCGACTCTTCTTCGTCAGAGGAACAAAACGTTGCTCGTTATTTCTCAGGAGAGCTGGTAATGAATTCAATGCCATTTTGTCCATTCGCAGTTTTATGGCTTAAGACTTTTACACCGGAAGACATAAATATATACATCAAAGGAATCCATTACTTATAGCGCCCGTAGCCTTGTAACATGGATTTTCAAAAAAAAAAAACAGATGATTAATATGTTCAATTAATAAACATAAAAATTAAACCCAGGCGCTGACTGCGGGAGTGGTCGTCTGCATGTTAAGTGTAAGGTTGGAAAAATTAAAATTAAACTGAAGTAATCTGCCAACTACAATATGACGAACACACAAGCTTTTTCAGTTGTTTTCAGAAGTGTTGTAAAAGTTTTGAACGTGTCGAGAAATGAAAACCGAGCTCCTTATAGAAAAGAATGAATGCAAAACGAGCAAAAGAAGTGAGCAGAGAAAAGCAAAAACAAGAGAAAAAAAGAAGAGATTTTTGGATGAAAATAATTGATTAGTACAGAGATAGGTCTGAACGGAGATAGATAGATAGATAGATAGATAGATAGATAGATAGATAGGTATGAAGAGACTGAAATAGATAGATAGATAGATAGATAGATAGATAGATAGATAGATAGATATAGATAGATTTGAAAAGACTGAAATCGATAGATAGATAGATAGATAGATAGATATGAAGAGACTGAAATAGATAGATAGATAGATAGATAGATAGACAAAGAAACTGAGATAGATAGATAGATAGATAGATAGATAGATACTGAAATAGATAGATAGATAGATAGATAGATATGAAAAGACTGAAGTAGATAGATAGATAGATAGGTATGAAGAAACATAGATAGATAGATAGATAGATAGATAGATAGATAGGTATGAAGAGACTGAAATAGATAGATAGATAGATATAGATAGATTTGAAAAGACTGAAATCGATAGATAGATAGATAGATAGATAGATAGATAGATATGAAGAGACTGAAATAGATAGATAGATAGATAGATAGATAGATAGATAGATAGATAGATAGACAAAGAAACTGAGATAGATAGATAGATAGATAGATAGATAGATACTGAAATAGATAGATAGATAGATAGATAGATAGATAGATAGACATGAAGACAGTGAAGTAGATAGATAGATATGAAGAAACAGAGATAGATAGATAGATAAAGAAACTGAGATAGATAGATAGATAGATAGATAGATACATACATACATACATACATACATACATACATAGAAAGATATGAAGAGACTGAAATAGAGAGATAGATAGATATGAAGAAACAGAGATAGATAGATAGATAGATAGATAGATTTGAAAAGACTAAAATCGATAGATAGATAGATAGATAGATAGATAGATAGATAGATAGATAGATATGAAGAGACTGAAATAGATAGATAGATAGATAGATAAAGAAACTGAGATAGATAGATAGATACTGAAATAGATAGATAGATAGACATGAAGACAGTGAAGTAGATAGATAGATATGAAGAAACAGAGATAGATAGATAGATAGATTTGAAAAGACTGAAATAGATAGATAGATAGATAGATAGACAAAGAAACTGAGATAGATAGATAGATAGATAGATAGATAGATAGATAGATAGATAGATACTGAAATACATAGATAGATAGACATGAAGACAGTGAAGTAGATAGATAGATATGAAGAAACAGAGATAGATAGATAGATAGATAGATACATACATACATACATACATACATACATAGAAAGATATGAAGAGACTGAAATAGAGAGATAGATAGATATGAAGAAACAGAGATAGATAGATAGATAGATAGATTTGAAAAGACTAAAATCGATAGATAGATAGATAGATAGATAGATAGATATATAGAGACTGAAATAGATAGATAGATAGATAGATAGATAGATAGATAGATAGATAGATAGATAGATAGATAAAGAAACTGAGATAGATAGATAGATAGATACTGAAATAGATAGATAGATAGACATGAAGACAGTGAAGTAGATAGATAGATATGAAGAAACAGAGATAGATAGATAGATAGATAGATAGATAGATAGATAGATACATACATACATACATAGAAAGATATGAAGAGACTGAAATAGAGAGATAGATAGATATGAAGAAACAGAGATAGATAGATAGATAGATAGATAGATAGATAGATAGATAGATAGATAGATAGATAGATAGATATGTCTGAGATTATTACAATGTTGACCGTTTCGTTGACGGAGAACATTTTTTTAAAATTATTATTGCAGATGTGTTTTCCTTTTAGATGGATTGTTCTAATTTTAGGCGAATGCATCCTCAAGAATAACTTTCTCGAATATGTATCTTTAACATCTGACAAGGACATTTGAAATGCTGCGTGCAAAATGAATGCCATCAGAATAGCATAAAGAAGAAAATTACATTTACAGTTTTGAAAAATAGGATTCTTTATGAAAACAGAATAAGTTATCCCAGAAAAGTAATTATACGAAAGTGTATCGGAGAGAAACGATAAAAAAAAAATGTAATTTTCGACGTAATAAAAAGTGACAGTGTTTAATATCAGGATCAGGCAGAGAGATTAACAAAATCATTCAGGGATTACTACAAGACGTCTAAGGAGATATGTCTCCGTAGGAAATGCAAAAAATAAATAAATGAATGAATAAATCAATCAATAAACAAAAGGACACAGATTTAGCAGAGCAAACGGATCAAGATATTAGCTGGAAAGAAGATATGCTATTCTTCTGTATGTATAAAAGTAGATAACACCATTATTTCAGTATACGAAGATTTAAAATGAATTTTAAAAATGAAAAAAAGCTTTCTTGAAGCTTTCATTTTAGGTTTAACTGAAACCTAAAGGATGTAAAATTTACTATTTCAAGTCAGCAAACTACTCTCTGGTGTATTTCAAACGGAAACATATTGAACGGAATCGATTTTTCTTTTAAAGTCGATTAAAAACGACCATGTTTGACAGCTTTGTAATCAGAAGTTAATTCTAGATTTTAAAAGATCTTGCAAAAATAAAATATATATTTCTGAAAAGTTCTTTGAGAAAAATTAGCAAATTCAAAGTTAAATTAATCCGATCTGAAACAAATATTATTTACATATAGCATAAAATGTTGTACACAAACATTTCTCAACAGACTTTTTTTGTTCTGACGTTTTAATCGATTTATTTACATTCGACTGGCAGCGGAAAGTATTCATAGTTAAGTATGGTGTAGCAGACGATAATTTTCTTTTTCGCCGTAAATGGGGACAAACCTTAAAAAACGCAACCTTTAAATGGTAAATTTATCGATTTGTACATCCGTACTTCAGAGATTCTGCACGTAATCGCACATACAAAAACAAATCGTAATTCTATTAAAAATATTCGGGCTCGCCAGATTATAATAAGCTTTACAATATCTAATTAGTAAATATAGTTTTACTTAATAACAATATTTCTGAAGCATTATCTCATTGAAAATGAATTTTAAAAAATTTCGAGTCTTTATAAATTATTCAATTTAAAATTGTAAAATAATTGAAAACAAATCTTGTAAAAAATCTTTATTCATCGATTTTTTTCTTCAGACAATGTTGTCTTTAATATATATTATTCAATATAGTAATTAAAAGCTTCTCTAACTAAATAATTTCCTAGTTTTATTGCGTTCTTTATTTTTCCATTCAGAAGAGATTTTTGTTAAATCCCGTTCCGATTTTATGAATATAATTCAGTGATTTAAATTCTTTAAAAATTCTACTTTTAGGTAACACAGTCACTAAAAATTATCACGTTGAATTTTTCAAGTTTTCATAAGGGACTGAAACACATGTAAAAAATATTTTTACTAATATTTTCTAATAAAAATAAGTAAAAAAGAATTTCATTCATCTGTGAACAAACCCTGAAGGTTTAATTTAAACCCGACAATTATTTAATTTTTGCAAGAATTTCCAATTTAATGTGTCTGTTACCGCAAAAAAGAATCCAAAATTTATTGGTACAACCGCTGTCGCAAGAAGATATTATTTTTTTATCAAAATTTCAAATATTCTAAAAAGGAGTAAAAAATTTAAATAAATATTCAAAAAATACTTTGATCCTTTCTCTTAATAATAACAAAGATTTTAACGATAAAACTTTGTTTTCATTACGTTTGAAGCATGTCTTCATCACGGTATGCTGATTTTTATTTTCGTTTTCATGGAGGTTCCTATATAAAAATAAAAATTCCAAAGAAGAAACTACCATTATTGAGGAAAGAAATTCAAATACAATAGATGAATGAATGAATAGGAAACCTCTTCCAGGACAACGGAGAAATAAAACCTGCAATCCATAAAATCTTCAATTCCGATGTACAAACAAAAATGGCCAAAATAAAAGAGGAAGAAAACCAGGAGGAGTCGCTGTAGTTGCCATAGAGATACTGACCGCCTTTAAAGGCTCTTTGCGATTGGTTAGGTCATTGAAGCGATAAATTAGATAGATCATGGCGCCATAATACCAAAAGGATCCAAGAAGAGCAATTTTTATATTACATCTTGGTAATCTATTGTTTTTAACATCAGTCGTTGATAATAATTTTTCTTATCAAATTCTTTGTTTCAGTCCGCTTTCTGAAAAAGTGTCGGCCGAAAGGCGCCGTATATCCCCCTCCTTTTTTCTTAAACGAGATACTTTTGTATCTATTTTAACAATAAAATGAAAAATATGATCTTTCTATTTAAATCAATACATATATATATATATATTTTAAGACATTTTATGTTTATACATTCTTTTTATAGATACAAATATTTAAGTAAATCCTCTGTTTAAAATAAACAACATTCACCGGCCTGAATGTTCGAGAAATTTTCACAGAAAATAATCGTCCTCCGACAGGATTCGAACCTATATCCTATACGGAACCATCATTTAGCTTGACGTGCCTTTATCCGATTGGGCCACAGAGGAGCGTCCGGTGAGCTAAGTTGAATTTACTGTATTTAAACTTCAATCTTCCATGAATCTCTCACGTACATTCATAACTGCTCATGGCGTATCAAATGTAAACAAATGACATCAAACATTATGAAATGGACAAAGTCCGACAAATATTTTAAGACAATTTTATGTTTATTATAAACAGAGCATTTACTTTAATATTTGTATCTATAAAAAGAAAATAAAATGTCTTAAAATAATTGTCGGTCCATTTCATAATATATATATATATATATATATATATATATATATATATATATATATATATAATTACATAATCATTCAACAAAAAACAAATATAGAGGTTAATGATTTAAATGGCGAGAATACATCTTCGGAAACAATATAAATAAGATACACTAACCCCGAATGATATGATCCCTGTTTATAAATTCCAGTTGCATAAGGTCTTTTTAATTTTTTACAAGCTTTCGTCTGTTCCTACAGACATCCTTTTTTTCGGATTACATTTCTATTTTCGTTGTCCTCTTATTACCGAGAAGTAAAAAACAAGAACAAATCTATTTCCATACCTGAGGATGTCTGTAGGAACAGACGAAAGCTTATAAAAACTAAAAAAAACCTTATGAAACTGGAACTTATAAACAGGGATCATATCATTCATATACAGGTTCGGGGTTAGTGTATCTTGGAATTGTTTGCGAAGATGTATTCTCGCCATTTAAATCATTAACCTCTATATTTGTTTTTTTGTATGAATGATTCATGCAATTATAAATTGAACTGCACCTATAAATATATATATATATATATATATATATATATATATATATATATATATATATATATATATCCAACAGAGATTTTCATGTTTTTAATAGATGCTGAAATATATATATATATATATATATATATATATATATATATATATATATATATATATATATATATATATATATATATCAACAGAGATTTCAAATGTTGACAAATGGAAACGTTTCATGAAACAGATTGCACTGAAAATAGATTTGCTAATGCATTTTGACATTAAAGGCTTCATCACATCCGAAGACGAAAGAATGAAATTGAAATGCGTGTATGTGTGTGTATGTTTAAATAACGAATTTTAATACTTTCCACAAGCTGGCGTTTATCGGTATTCAAGAAGAAAGTAAATGCGTAACTTTTAAAAATTCGTGAATATTTATTCTGGTATCTATTCTTTACAAATCATTCTTCTGTTTTCGGATCTTAAATGGCGAAATGCATTATCAAATCTAATTTTAATCAAATCTATTTTATGAAACGTTTCCATTTCTCAGTATATATATATATATATATATTAAAAAGAAGGGGGGTGCCGCAAACGTTTTTGGTTGTAATGTGGATTTATTGAGAAAAAATAATACTTTGTTTTACATAATTTCACAACACACAGAATGTCTCATATCGAGAATATTTCACATTGAACATGAAGAAAAATTTCTACATATTTTAAAAATAATTAAAATTTCACATTTCACCTGAAGATATTCTCGAGACCAGAAACACGTTCTGAAATTATGTAAAACAAAAGTATAATATTTTTTTCAATAAATCCACATTAAACAAAAAACGTTTGCGGCACCCCCTTCTTTTTAATATACATACTTTTCTCTCGTTGGAACCACTACAACATATTTCTTTTATATATATATATATATATATATATATATATATATATATATATATATATATTTATTTTTGCTTCTGCATTTCATATGCTCGAATTTATCCATGCAAACGAAATAAATCATTGTTGCAATGTCCGCATAACCAATCAAAAACCAAAATTACCATTTTTGTTATAAAATTTATTATTTAATTTATTGTAATGTACTTGTAATCACTGCTGATGGCTTATGTAAATCGAAAGCTTAGACAGGATTAACAATAAAAAACATGTATCAACATAGTGATTTTCTTTTCGTGTTTCAGTGATAATGCTAAAAAAGCTTATTCGACAATATGAAAGGAATTTACTTAAAATAAAACAGACAAAACTTGCCTATATTATTTAATATTTAATGAAACATGCATTAATATATATATATATATATATATATATATATATATATATATATATGTATGTATAAGCAGGTATGCAGAAAATAGAAAAGAACACGTTGGTTTCATAATCCGGAGTTCCTTAGTATTTTTGTTTTTGTTTTTAAGAAGACAGTGCTCCATACAGAAGTAGAGCTTATATCATAATAATATTTTTTGTTTAAAAATATGTTTCCTTCACTACATACGTGTTCTCATGTTTCAAAACAGGGCCAGGAAACCATCCAAATAATTATTAAAATTAAGTTGAATTAAGGTACAGGACTAAACAACTTAATTCAACTTAATTTTAATAATTATTTGGATGGTTTCGGCTCTCGTTTTTGAAACATGAGAACTCTTATGTAGCGAAGGAATCATATTTTTAAATAAAAATATTATAATATATATATATATATATATATATATATATATACAGTGGGGGAGACAAATATACGTACACATACAAATTTTTAATTTATTGTATTTCCAACTAATATACTTATACTAATATAATTAACTGTACACGGATACATAATAACTAAATTTGCATAGAAAACTGAAAAAATTGATTTAATAGAAATAAATCCCATTAAAATGGATAAATTTTAATGGATGAAAAAAGTATTCGTACCATACAAAAAACAATACAGCATTTTCATTTAATACTTTGCAGAATAGCCATTATTCACTTCTACAGCAACCAACCTCTTATTGTAGTTCTTGATTATTTGCAAATTTTAGTTGGTATTTTGTTCCATTTTTCTTCGCATATGGTTTTCAGATCCGGGATATTTGTTGGAGCTCTTGATTGGATTTGAATTTTCAAATAACGCCACAGATTCTATGGTCCGGCCAGCAGAACTTCTACTCCGAGATGAGGACGACACTGTGGCCTCTCTGTCGGGTGATGGAATAGTCCAATGTGTGCCATTGTTTTCTCGGGTAGCGAACTGGGAAATGGCATTGATCATGAGAAGCTCGTGCTCAGCACATATGCTGAGAAGGCGAAACTCGATGTCATCGCAATTCTCATGCCCCATTTTCATATATAAAAGAAGCCATGCATTCCGTTAAAAGTAAAATAAAATCATTCTTGACAGTGGCGGAAAGTATAACCGAAAGCCCGGAAGCGCTCATATCAACTATGAACACGGCCAGTGTGTGAACCGTTTTTGGAATATATATATATATATATATATATATATATATATATATATATATATATATATATAATATTACAAATTAATTGATTTAAAATATGGCTTTTTCGCTACACAGTTCTAACCATGTTTCAAAAATGGAAGGTCCAAATTTAATTTTGTAATTAAATTAAAGACATTAGTTCCATTTCATCGTCAATACTGTTCTTTTTATTTATATATACATACATATATATATATATATATATATATATATACATACATATATATATATATATATATATAGAGAGAGAGAGAGAGAGAGAGACAGAGAGAGAGACAGAGACAGAGACAGTAGGGGAAACAAATATTCGTACGCATACAAATTTTTATTTTACTGTATTTACAACTAATGAATAAACATACTTTTCAAATAATTAACTGTACACAGATGCATAATAAATAAATATGCATAGAAAACAGAAAAAATTGATTGAATAGAATTAATTCCCATTCATCCATTCTAATGCGTGAAAAAAGTATTCGTACAATGCAAATTTCAGATTTTAAAACTTTTAAATTGCTTTAATACTCTAGATTATTCATGTGAAATATTCTAGAATGTCCCAATAATGTTATCACTTGTTATTTTTAGCCTAAAAAAATGCAAACAGAACATTCTATAATTGATATTCGTGAAAGAAGGTATTTTTTTTATATTGGCGAGAGGTAAACAATTGAGAAATTCGAAAGAAGAACTGATTGTTACGCTCTTGAAAGAAGATAAAAGTTACAGGGAAATCTCAGAGAACTCGAATATTCCATTTACTATCATTTAAATTATTGTTTTCAGGTATGATACATGATTTATTGCACCTATTGTCAGTGATGATACGTAGTAAATAAAACCATGGAGAACGGCGACAGTCTGTTTCATACTTCAAGGCAATCTTCAGCCCGAAGTTAGTCAGTTAGCTAGCAAGACAGATCTATAATGAATAGACTTGGATAGATAGATATTAAAAAAACTGACATAGATAGATAGATAGATAGATAGATAGATAGATAGATAGATAGATAAAAATTCAGTCAGGCTTACCTCATTTTCATCGGCGTATTTCCTCAGTCCATCCCAAATGAGTTTCAGGGTAGCTCTGGCTTCGTTATGTTTTTTGCCATCATTTGGCCATGAATGCAGATCGCAGATTTTCTACAATTAAAATGCAATAACATTAACAACCATGGATACATATATATAAAAATTTAAAATTGATTAAAAAAAATAAATTTGCTCTCGAAGCAGACACTTCCGATAAACTTTAAACCGGAAATAGATAAATTTCATGGTTATAAATTATTTCACTGGGTTTGTAATAACCACCCAACTCCACACACCTACAAATTGGGCCGTTATTACGAACCCAATGAAATAAATTATAGCCATGAAATATTAGTGTTCGAGCCTTCTATATATATATATATATATATATATATATATATATATATAGTAGTGTGTGTGTGTGTGTGTGTATACGTTTATGTGCGTGATGAGTAATCCGAATAGAAATATCATCGATTCATCTTCTGGCAATCTCAGATATTTTATTTATCTATTTACAATAACAGGGCAATATCTATCTATCTATCTATCTATCTATCTATCTATCTATCTATCCCTTTCTCTCTCTCTCTATATATATATATATATATATATATATATATATATATAGATAGATAGATAGATAGATAGATAGATAGATAGATAGATCCTACCCTGTTATTGTAAATAGATAAATAAAATACCTATATATATATATATATATATATATATAAGTGGACATTGCGGCCAAAACTAAGCTGCGGCAGTCTGTTTCATGCTTAAAAGCAATCATCACGCCATTTGTGTTGTGTTTTGTATCAACTATTTATATATGCTGGTGAATGGTGCACTATGGACATATGTAGCGAATATGTTTCAAATTATTCTAGAGGTTATTAAGTAGAAATAACAGTCGACCCGAGCGGTTATTTTATAATGTTGTTTGTTAACAGTTCTTTACTCATTACTTATTATTGATTGGATTATTACTTGTTGTTGATTATTATTATTATTATTACGTTTATTTTTTTTGTTTATGTGTTCATTCGTAGGTTTTTAATTTACATAATTTTTTTATTTATTTATTAATTTACATTTATGTTTATTTTAGTTTGTTTAATTTTTTCCTATCGTTTTTAGGTTTCGGTTTTAGGCTTCGAAGTAAAAATGTGATTTCTTGCCTGCATCTTGAGATGAGTTTTGGTGGTTTATCTAATAATTTATGTTGGAAAGGTGATTATAGATACTAACTCCTCCAGACAAGATTTACAATTTTTGAATTCATTATTATGATCTGACGCGGTTTTCCCTATTTTTCTATTATATTTTTGATACGATTTAGTGTTTGGTTTTAATTTTAAATTTTTAGTAATCACTGTGCTGTTCGCGTGTTTACTTCCTCTATAGGATGTTTAGTGTGCGTTGTTTCTCTGTTTTCAGGGTCCTTCAGTTGCTTCTAAGAATATTTTTTCTTCATTAGCTACTGATTTTACAGTGGCTTGGTATATTAAATTGTTCTGCAAACAATTACCTTTTAAGGGGCATTCGTTCTTTACTCTGAAGTTACACGAGAGCTTGATTTGTGTAGGTGGTTTGTTCGTTATATATCTATTATGCTTTTTTATTATTTGTTCCATGTTCTAGGTTAAAATGCAGCTAATTTTTTTATTATGTCTTTGTTGAATATCTTGTAGAGACTGCTTGATCGGTGTAAGTGTTTTAGATCATATAAAAATGCAGGGGTTCCCCGAGGATCTAGGTTACTTTTAAGGCATAAGTTCCTAGTTAGTAACTGATGACATTGGAAAGGTCGTTACTAACTAGGTACTTATGCAGATAACAGGACTATTTATTCCTCTCTTTATTACAAGCCCGATAGACCAATAAAGACAAAACTCCTTTCATTTAACCACCACAGAAAACCTGATCTGCGTGTCACCAGCATGGCTAATGCTAACCTCCAGGAGAACAAGACTTTGCGTCTTTTAGTGGTTTATTTTTCAACTGACAGGAAGGAATTTATATTGAATCAACTACTAGGTCTACTGCCTGACATTTTTTCTTGAGAGAATCCATCTTTTACATTTAAAAATTACTATTAGTCCGTGTATTGAATATTACAGCTATATCTGGTCATTGTTTTCGACCTATATTTATCTTGATTGTCGGTAAAATCCAATGGGATTCTAATCTTATCCATATTAGCGTGGCAGTAATTATCCTTGTCATAATATGAGAAGGATACTATTGAGTCTTAATTCTTGAACTACTAAGTAAAGAATGTTGATTTTTTTCCCTAACAACGCCTTTTCCGAAACACAATGACAGTATTAACAGAGATTTGAATATTCATTTGGACAACCCGAAAAATTATCATGATGACTCGGCTCAGAATTTACAACGAGATTTTTGTTAATTAGTTTGCGAAAAATTAATTTTATTATAATGATCAAAGCTTATCTATACTCCTCACTGAGAAAGTAAACATGATGTAAAATGCTTATCTCTGTCTATAAAAACAGGATGTGTGTGACGTCGTCCCCCGGTCGCAGCGCCAACTGTGACGTTCTATCCTGATCTACCACGGCGCCAGTTGTGACGTGGTCGTTCCAGGGTCCTATCCCGGTCAGGACACCAGTTGTGACGTCCCTAAACAGCACCAATTGTGACGTCTTCGCCGCGGCTCCTGCTGTTCACTCCTCGCTGCTCCGTCCGGGTGTCGCTGCTCCAAACGTGACGTTCGCCTGTCGCGTCAGTTGTGTTGTCTCGTACTGTGACGACCAACTGGCTTGGTATCGGTCGCGGCACCCAAATATGACGTTCTAACCTTTTGGCGATTCGGGTGGGAATCTGGTTAGATTTTATATCAGCCTCGCCGTTCCCAACTCGCTTCCAACGCCTGGTTACCAAGGTAACTGCACTGATATCCAGTCTGCCTACCCACGTTGTGAATTGATCTTAGACAGACGAGATCAAACAGGCGTTGGGGCCGTAATGCAAATTGTGTTCACACAAATATGCATAAAAGAAAAGAAAATGAAAACTCAAAAAGTTCAAAGTATCAAAGAAAAAGGTAACAAACTTTATGTCTAGTTGTTCGATACATAGGACTGCATCTATCCCCCGACCCGTTCTGTGGATTGTGACACGTCGCTTTCGCTAGGCAAGTTTTAACGCTTCAAGTTGTTTGCTCTCTAAGAAATTTGTGTTTCGGTGTGTCTTTGGACGAAAGTCGAAAAACTTATTTCTGTGGTCTGGTTCTAAGTCGCTCTTCAAAATAATTGTTCTTGGTTGAAGAGGAGTCCAAAATTTTGCGTGAATCTTGGTCAGCTATCTTGAGGCGGCTTCAACTCTGGAAACTGGAGCTCGAACTTTGGATACTCATCTCTGCCGCCAGGGCCGAACGAACTCGGCACTCATCTCTGCCGTCAGGGCGCGAACTTTCTGGGCACTCATCTCTGCCGTCAGGGCTCGAACTGATTTCTGCCTGTTGGGGGCTGGTTTTATTGACGCCGACAAAAACCGGGTTGGGTCTGTTGGCGTCGGGGAGTTCCTCGATAATTCTAAATACATATCCACCTCTTTTATTTCTGGTTAGGGATTTTCTAATCTTTTCCATTTTTGGTAACTTTTTTTCACTCCCACTTTCTTACCATGCTTTTGAGGGGCGTCAACTGCCTTCCTACACTTCTTCTTAGCGGCTTCTCATACTTATACTCTGGATGGGGGCGTCGACAGCCTTCTTCGTGCGTCACGTGATCACTCTCGGCCAATGAGGTCTTGGTCGGGTATCTTTCCTCCTCCTCCGTGCGTCATGTGATGACCACTTGACCAATGACGTCTTAGTCGGGCGTGAACAACTCGCGGCTTTGTTTCGGAAAAAACAATACCTTGCTTAACTAAAAAAAATTAATTATCTCTCCTCTTTCCTCTTTTTCTTCCTTTCAAATCGCCGTTATCATGAACGGATAATATGATAACTCTTTGTTCAACACGTGGCGTTTGTCAAGCAGTTTATCGCTAATTCATCAGACGGCTGGTTTTCCGACATGGCCTCAGAAAAGAATTTTCTCCAAGTTTTCAGTCGGTCTGACGTCTCCAAGGAAGAAATAAAAACATTTCTTATTCCATTCATTTTCCTTCGGTTCATGTGTCTGATAACAAAATTTTATTATCGCAAGGCGAAAGTTTGTTTTATCGGAAAGAGTTTAATTAGCGAGACTGCCTGTGTGGGATTTTAATTTTCCATATCTAGCTAAGGCTCCGAGCTACACCTGTGTTTTGTCAATTATCAAAATCTAACGTTTTCAAGTGGACTTTCTTTGGCGAACATTTCTTGATAACACAATTCCATTCGCGCAGGCCAAGTAGGAAAATCGGTCAATGATTGCTCGTAGGTGGCCTTTAATTTTCATATCTGTCCAAATCCTTTTTTTAGTCGCCTGTGTCTTGTCGTCACTTATTGAAATAACATTTTCGCTTGAATTTTTCCCTTGGTCGGTGGCCTGTGTTTTGATAATAATATGCCTTCCCGTACCAATAGTTTGTTTCCATATCCTTAGATAATACTTCCCTACCCACTCAATCTCATTGTCATTGTAATGACACTCTTTTCGCCATTTGCCACTTATCCAAAATAACCCTTTTCTTTTTTTTATTGCCTCCTAAGCCTTGTGTGTGTGTTCGCTTATCACCTATGATCCGTCTCGCATTACTTTTTCCCTTCTTTTCTTCTTTTCTTTCCTTTTCCCTTTTTGCCTTTCTTTCTCTGCCTGGATGCATGGTGCCACATGTGTGTGTGTGTGTGTGTGTGTGTGTGTAACGGATGCACGGCCGCAATTTTCGACGGATTTGTACCAAAATTTACATGCACATGCTCCAAGTTAGTAGGAAGGCCAAGACCGACTTTGCATTTCCCAACTCGCATTGATAGTAGAAATAATCAATTTTTTATGCTTCTACGACAGTTTTCATGTAGTTCTCGGCCATTTTCTACTGGCCAGAGTGAGAGCCTATAGCTGTCTGCCACGAATAGGCAAAAAGATTCTATTGGCCAGCGTAAGAGGCAACAGTTGACTGACACGAATGTTAACTAGCATGCTAGCATGTAAAAAATATCGATAGCTGCATTCGTCACAAGTGGGAAAAATTTAAATCTGCATGGCACTTTACTCCAATTGGCTCATTCACTTGCTTAAACTCAACGTTGATTCTGATTCCGCAGAAATGGGTTGGGTGTGAAAAAGTATTTGTTGTTAACATTCTTTTTTCATTTGTTTTTTTCCAGTTACGAGTCCTTTTTTAAAGCTGATCGTTTTGTATTCATTTTGTTTAGTTCTTTTTTCGTAACAGATTTAATGTTTAGTATAGAGCTTATAAAAAAATTCGCAATGTGAGATAGGCAAGAAGTAAGGCATGTAGCAACATCAGCGCGCCAAAGGGCACTCCTTTAAAGGCAAGGAAGGTCAAAAATA